TGCATCCGTTGTTTGGGGGGGAGGAAAGAACCGAGTCGGAAAAAAGGCTCGACGGGAAATATTTCGTGAAAATTCAAGATCGGGATTGGTACTGGCGGGCCTATTTGCCGGAGGGGGAGGATCGAGATCACCCGGCTTGTAATGTGTTTGGGCCAAGGGCCCGGCCCATTAAGAGTTTCGGGTTCCCCAAGAGCCTGGTTGTGGTGGCCGAGCTGGATCTTTTGCAGGATTGGCAATTGGGTTATGTTGATGGGCTTAGGAAAAACGGCGTTGAAGTCCGGTTGCTTTTTCTCGAGAAGGCGACGATCGGGTTCTATTTCTTGCCAAACAACGAGCATTTTTGTTGCTTGATGGACGAGCTGAACGAGTTCTTGCACTCTTGACTTTTTTCGGGGGTGACGAAGAATTTGTTTGACTTACTAATTATTACGATTTATGTGTTGTCTTGAATGCGTGACCCAGTGGTTCTATTTTTTTTTTTTTAGTTTGATGCTTTTGTGGGGGCTTACTGTATAGTCGGAGGCCTGTTTGGGTCGACGGATGAAATGCTCGATTTTCAGGGGTTTTGTGATCGGATTTGCCGGCTACTTAGTGTGGCGTCGGATTTATCGACAATTGATCGATTTAGTCTGTCAATTTAGGGTTTGTAGTTTATAGAAGCTAATATTGTATTTATGTGGATTTAGGGAAGCCGTTGTGTTTGTGACTTGTGATCCTTTATGTAGTATCATCAAGTATTAACACTCTAGTTGCCTAGGAATTATAGTACTAAGTTTTTCTATCCTACTTTTATTTAATGCCAGTTTCTTATATAGTGCTAATTTCAATTGTGGTATTTGGAGTATGATGTGTGGTCATTTTGTAATTATCACATAGTGTTGAGTTAAACCAATCCATATTAGACATCTAGTGCAATTCTTGGTGCTAGGTTTATTCCATGTTAATAGGGAAATTTGGGACAAGACTACAGTCCGTTACGGAATCAAATTTGAAACCGTTAGACGAACATGTCGCACTCATCTATATGTGCATCTAACGGTTAAAAATTTCAAGGGAATTGTTCGATAACGGGACTTTAGCCTTTTCCAGGAAATTTGATGTTTGCCCACATTTTTTTTTTTTTTTTTT